TCTCGTTGAAGGAACTCCTGTGAATGGCATAGATTGAAACATTTCAAATACAATGTTGGAGATAATTTCCTTTAGTTATAGTCACCGAGTATTTTGAACTTCATAGTTATAATATACCTTTTGCTTATTCCTCAATTTCAAACTAAGCATTTGCTTATGTTGTCGTTGCTTGGCTACAAATGTACAAAGTATTTGCACTGGGTTCAGTAGAATACTCAATATATATTTCTGAGATGACGATGAAGCTGAAGATATGAAGGTAGTGAAACGTTTGCCGATGAAAATGTTCTGCATTATTATCTAAAAATGTTACATAATATTTGCTTAATATACATCCTGATAATTTCATCTGAAAATCCTGTTAATAAACAGAAATTAATTCAGTGGATAAAGTTAGTTGTTCACAGATATCGATCAGTGGAGCGGATTAATGAGATTTGTAATGTCTTAAGATATATATGATGGTCGCTTCCAAAAATTTTAAGAGATTACATTGAAAGTCGAACGAAAATTCTATGTATCACAAGAAGGTTGAGTAAGTGTTAACTAGTTAACTGTTACCATTTCTCTTGACATTGTGTTTAAATTTTCAACATGTTTTACTATTGTGCTGTACTCTTTTTATATTCACGTTCTGCAAAGTCTGTGCACACTTGGATAATGCGTTTTTTTTAAAACGTACATCAGCAGTTTTCGTTTGGACTTTCTAAATCGACTGAAGAGGATTAAAACATGAGAGAAAGGAAATGAGAAAAATCTTTTCCATATTATTTATTATCCGTCTTATGACTCTGAAGCATTAGGTGAATTGCTGTGTGTTATTACATGTTTAACATCAGATGAAGTTTAACCCATGGCGAGCAAACGTGTACGTATACACATGAGTTCATCATAAGTGATCAAGGCGTAACGAAGTAGTTTTGTAAATACTTGACATTAGTGTTGAACCTGTTAGTTTTAATAAGAATATGCTAACCAGAGACTTTGAGACAATCATCATCATCATCACCACTGGATCACCGCACAACATTCCGTGAAACTTTCACCGTGCTCAAGATGGTCAATTTCAAAGTCTGACACCACGCAATTCCTGCACGCACTTAATATGTCCTTCCTCAAACATCATTGCATCCTTCCGTTTTTTGTCTTTTGATCATTTTGTAAGAAGATATTTGGTTACCACTGTCGTTCAAATTCGTTTAACTTTGTATGTCTTCATAATCTAAGCGTGGCATTATTGGTCTTTACCGGTTCACTCAGATATCCTATATATTTTGATTCAAACGTAGTTATTATTTTTTCAAACGAAATTTAGACTCTTCAGACGCATTTCTACTGTCGTACGACGCTTCATTGATTGCCTTAGATTTCTCATACGTATCCTAAAATTCCTGGCCAAAGATATATTTTTTCCGCTCGTCTGTTTACAATCGGGCTGACTGATTTATTTTGTCGTTTGTAAGCTGTATATCATTTCTTGCTTATTAGAAACATTTATGACATTAGATTTGTATATAAATCTATTGACAACTTCTTTGTATCATGAATTTGTTTGAACAACTTCCAAATGCTTTACGACTGAATAGCTAGTATTCGGTTTTGGTGAGCTATTTTTAATTTATGCCCGTAATCAAACAACACCCCAAATATCACCAAACAATTGTGTTTCAATATCATTTGTGGTCATTACACGCTGTCAACACAACCGTGGTAACCATGAGGAAAGACCATAAATTCCCGAATAACATTTTATACTGATGCACCCAGGCCGTATTTCTTGGGGTTTTTGTTACTATAGTATAGCCTTTAAAGGGAAAAAAGATGTTAGTTATTTGTAATGACTCATAAAGGTTATCATGTTTACTTTTAGATGGTTCAACGTACATCGGTAGTTGTGTTAATTAACCAGTGTTTTCAGACTTCTTTAAGAACATTTTCGGACATTTCATCTTTCAGTTGAAATTAAAACAGGATCAGAGAACGCTAATGAAGCTCTGGTTAATAAGATGGTGCTCGTTCGACAAAGGAAGGGAATGTCATCGGACATCAAGACTGACACATCGAACGTGGCAGTAGGAGATATATTGCAACAGTTGGTAAATGAAACATTGGAACCCCGCCCACATTTTTCAAAGAGATTAAACCTTATTCAGAATATGAATATCATGTCCTGAAGAGAGTGGCTAGCAATCGCTCAGCAGTAAAATTCATTTCTGTTTTGAATTGTGCTCTTGGGAATGAATCTATTGGATATTCCAAACTTTTCACTACCCATCCGCCGTGCATTTTCAGTACTACTTTCTCGACCTCCACAATGGCCAGGAATCAACTTGGAGTTGTCACAGAAGATCATTGGGAATAAACGCTGTAGTAACAAAAGTGCGTTTGAAGACAAATCACTTCTGACAATGAGTAGATCCTATTGGGAACGTCATGTAGTGTGTAAAATTGTCCCTTATTCGTCAGCAACAACCACAATTTAAAGGTTATGATCTAACGAATCGTTCAGCTTTCATATTGCAAGATGTAAAATAAAAGCATGAATAATGAAATTCTTGTACATACCAAATGTATCTTCGATGGCACAAAATTATATGTCGATAACTGCAGTGGCTGATTGCCCATTTAACTGATAAGTAGAAGATCAGTTATTACCGAATAAGTAAGAGCGGTCAAGCACGCCCCGAAAAGTGCTCACTTTATTGAACAAAATAGTATCGATTTCGTGGAGGCGACACTCACATTTATGAAATGGCAACGGTTGGAAAGAGACAATTTGTACCGAGACATGTCATGAGGACCGATGCGTCATAAACCAAACGATCATCGGAAAACGTAATGTCGTAAACAAGGAATTTGTGTAGACTGAGAAAAGACTAATAAAAGCTTTGTTTGTGACTACCCATAAGTGAATTTGAATGCTTCAAAGTTGTTTTGTCTGGTTTGCGCTGTTGTTTTTTCGAAGAGAATGCATACAGTTTAATAAACAATATTGCAGCCATTCTGGAACACAGTAGAAGTGTTTACGTTAACTAGTTTCACGTCTTTGTATGAATTCGGTTTCGTGCTAATTGATTTGAATTTATAAAGACTGGAAGCGTGACGCAGGTCGCTAAATTGGATGAGCGTTCGTTATGAATCCGATCTTCATCCCGGATAAAATAGGAGGATTCAACATGTGGTCACCAACTCCATCTCTTGGAAACAAACTGTGTTTGAAAATATCATTTAAAGCATAATTTTTCAGACCTGTGAGTTATACAAGATATTCCTTTCGAAGAATTATGACTCCTCATGATGAAAGTAGAAAGTCTTTAGAAGTCACGAGGATTATGTCGTAGATTGTGTTGAAATGAGAAGGTACAACATGTCAGTTCTCGGAATAAGTAAAACCCATTGGATACAAGCTGTTCAGGTAAAGATTGTTCTACTGTAGTCATGCGTGAAAAGTAAACAATAAGTTCAGCTCTTTTATTGATGACATTTGTGTATAATATATGTTTACATTCATCGATATCCATTATCTGCTACTTTGATTAAAGTAAACATGTCAATTCTGAACGAAGTGTATTAATCGCTATACTCTTTCTTACTGAACATGAACTCCGTTCGTACTCAGTACCATTCAGTTGATATTGACTAAAGTGTTTCTCAATCTTGAAACGTTTGCGAATGCTGTTCATATGCAAAACATTAGGTTTCGTGAATCCAACGCAGAATATCCTTATACAAAACGAACAGTAAATCAGCTACATAATACTGAATAAATTTTATTAACCTTGAAATGTTTACTTAACATGTTCATATGAAGAACTTTATGTTTCCATTGACATTAATATAGAATTGTCTTATGAGAAATTGACAGTGATTTTATGGGATTAGCTCACTATTCCAATAACTACTGCTTCCGTGGATACGATGAAGTGAAGAAACACCCAAGTGAACTCTTATCAAGCCCTAGTGAATATGCTACATAATCACCTAAAAATACTGCGACTATATGTAATGATAATGAACAATAATAATTTGATAATAGGTAAGACATTAGTGAGACAATTCTATGTATAATTGAAATCAGTTCTGATGTTCATGATTTTGCAAAATTACCCAACAATCGTTTATTCGACCACAGAATATGATACTCGTGGAAGCAATATTTTGGTTACTGTCAACATTGTTTCGCAGCGCGAAATTCACCATCACACTGCCAAGAATTATATTTTGCAATTATAACCAAATCATGAATAGTTTGGGTTTCTTCCGCTGAAATTATTATTCATTTACGAAAGTGTAGACTGTTAATCATTCAACAGTAATTGACTCATTATGTTTAGTGTGCAGACATTCAGGTCCATTTCTACCTGACGAATAAGAAACGTTTTGCCTATTTTGATCGCTAAATCTATATAGAGCCAACGGGATAATGTGCTGGTCAAATGGGAATTTGGGACTGTTCGGAAGTTAAAATCCCACATTCAACGATGATGGAGTCGTCTTACAGGGTTTATTTCATTAAACATAAATTCAGATGTAAAAATGAATATTTAGATATCTAATCAAGACAGGTTTTGTTACTTGGATTTGAACCTATCAAATCAAGGCAATGCACCATCGGTAAACAGTCCACAAGTCATTACAAGTAAGAAAATGTTTGTTCGTGAAAATATGAGCACACATTTTGACCTACATTAAAAACCCCTCACTTGGATTAAACTATTGCTAATCATAAGCAATATAATTTTGACCAAGAGAGATCTTGGAGTTTCAACCAACGGTGGATAAGTGTCAGCCTTTAGAGTACAACAGCTAGAAGTATATTACATTTCGATGAGTTCGCCTTCCACGATGATTGGTTAACAATGATCATATGATTTTATGGAACGTGATGTTTCTAATGGTCACTTTGGATCGTCGAATAAGAAACAAACAAACAAACACTTGAAAAATTGATAAAAACACGACAAGGTCTAACAACAATTATTAACGTTGTGAACAAGAAGATGAGGTGAGTGTTGACTGTACAGTTAAAGCAAATGAGTGTGATATATGAACTTCAATTTGTTTCAACGAAATAATAAGGTTGTCTATTTTTATCTGAACCATTTCAGGCATAGCTTTGCAACTGGCCAGTTTGTACTGATCTATTCGATCATCGTACTAATTTATAAATTCTTCGACTGTCATGACATTTGCACAAAACCTGAATTACGGTATTACGAAGAAGTAATTTTTGAAAGTGATGCATATGAGTATGTAAGTAATCAGTCAGGTTCCAATACACATATTCAGTCTCATCACTATTATTATTCCCAGACAATCCGCTCTAATCAGTCTCTTCCAGTTATTCGCGGCAGGTTTGAAACGTTGAATGCTGATAAAGTAAATTGACTACATTTTGCAATCGAGGTACTAATCCATATGTTTACATATAATCAGGAAATTTATGCGAAATTCCCGTTTACGTTTTACGGTGCTACAGTCATCAAATTCCAATTACGCACTTCTGGTAAGAGAATCATTTTCATCGAACTAAAATTGTTACCGAGTTTTATTTATTCACATTTCATTCCGTCGACCGGTGTTGCCTTAATTTCTTCAGTAAATCAGTTTTATGCCCTTTCTAGCATTCAAAACATCTACTGATATCTTATTTCGTTCAACTTGTAAACAGTTTCAAGCCTTATGGAAATTGAATTACGGTCCACGGAGCTCATTTTGTCTCCAGTTAATCTAAAAAGTCTTTAATTCATTCTCTACAGATTGTCAATTAAATTTCATGTTTCCATTCGATAAACACAGGTACAATTGATATGTACGATCAAAAGAATTTAGGAGAAATTACCAGTTATATAGAAAACGATTCTTCGGCAAAATATGAAATTTTATTTAATCGTGAGTACTTCAATTATCCAATGATAATTTAATGTTGCTTTTCATTTCTCACTTTTATTTTGCATAAATGATTCAATATTTGACCTGGTTAATTCATGAGGGCTGACCAGTACACAGTGATTAATTAGCTTGTAGGATTTGTTGCCCGAAAATGTGTAGTGACTCACATTTATCACGAGAACACGACTGGTTTAATAAAAACAATTATTATTATAACCAACTGTACCAGTGTTTGTTTTAACGTGCTTTTGTTTGACTGTGCTAATGATAGCAATTTGTGCTTCCATTCTTATACTTACACTTCGATTGTAACTTCGCGCGAATTCGGTTACCTTCTGTAACCAAGGTTGTATCCTGTCACGATCTCGGTATCTTTTCGATGCCACGAGATCGCCAGCTAATAAACCTCGACTTGGTCCATTAATTGCCTTCTGATGTTTGGCTTCTCGGGGATTTTATGGGTTTCTTTGGTTACATCCAACCTTCGCCTTCTGATTAACTTGGCACGTGTTTCTTGGTAGCGGTGTTCACAGTTAATCCCAACTGGAAACCACGCTACAATTGGGGACACAAGCTTGGTTACAGAACGTAACCGAATTCGCGCGAAGTTACAATCAAAGTGTAAGTATAAGAATGGAAGCACAAATTGCTGTCATTAGCACAGTCAAACAAAAGCACGTTAAAACAAACACTGGTACAGTTGGTTATAATAATAATTGTTTTTATTAAACCAGTCGTGTTCTCGTGATAAATGTGAGTCACTACAAATGTGTTCACAACACATATTCATTACTGTCAAGTGAAAACGATGGTTCACTTCGAAATAAACGCAAATTGATTGAGTAGAAATAATAAATCGAACGAATCCAACTGAACACATCTACAACAATAAACGATGTTGTATGAGAAATCGTTTTAGATTATTAAATCCCATGAACTACCAAATTATAATTGATAACGTCCAAATGTTTTCTTTAACTTACTTCATAAAGAATGAATGTCTCTTAGTCACTATCTGTGAACCACTGTGTGTATTCATCACATTTTTGACTATCATATTCACATGGATCTACAACAGCCACCAGTAATAATAATAATAATGACAGATGATAAAAAATTACCACGAACAATGCACTGGTATAACATGATTGATTCGACCCGGAACAACTAGGTCTATTAGATTGTTAAAAGCTTTTAAAATCAACGTTTCAGAAGTAGAATATTCTTCTCAGTTGATTGAATTGAAACATTCATCATATCGTTGTAATAATTATGAGTCTCCTTGCAACTCCCATTTAACTGAACCGGTTTAATTAAATCTTGAAAGAAAGATGATAACTCGTGTCTAAACCCATTCTCTATGGATGTTCATTATACATGTATATAAAAACACAAATATTTTTACTTTCATCATTTTAGAGGAATTATTAGCCGTCAGACAATACTCTTCTCCAGAAGCTGATGGTAAAAGTGAGTATCCATAAAATGATTATTTGATTACACATGAAATATTTAAACACTTACACCATCATTCGTAGTACTTGTTTACACATTTTCTGTTCATTTTACATCACTGAATTCTTTTCAAAAACTGACAAAAGTCATAAAGTGTAACCATCCCAGAAGATTAGGAAGAGGGAATTATGTATGTGGAATTCATCGATTATTTGATCACATTGATTGAGACCTGAACGACAGTTAACATGATCAGGAGCATACTAGATTTGATGTGCAATCAATAGATCCGTATGAATAAATTAGGTCATAAACACATTTTACTTGTGGATAAACGAATGCAGAGATACATCTTCGTCAATAGGCTTCAATGCTGCTTGATCAGAAGTCTGTAATCTGAAATTAGTAAATTTGTGTTACTCATCACACGGTCATTCATAAAAATTATTCATTCAAATTAAGAAATCACCAAGACGAATAATCTGAAGCTATTCATTTTCCATCGTTACCGAACACTAATAAACCAATGCGTTGCATAACCAACTAAGTTACCATGTTCTATTCGTAAACAAACAAACCATAGCTAATGTCATGTGTATTAAGGGTCGGTTTTTTTAGGGGTAATTATAGAGAGTGTTGAGCAAATGTCAATACCTCCTCAACTATCAGATTTAATTGGAAGCTTGATGATTTATTATTTCGATATGGAAACGGGGTTGTAATACAGCTTCGGAACGTGATTATCTGACATTTATATTGTAGGATGCATGCTTGCTTCATTTACACGACGTTCACTAGTTTATATTTATTACGAATTCTACCAAAGAAAACATTTGAGATAACGAAGAAAATACCTGCCTAAAACAGATCACTTTGCGCGTAGGCACATACACTTTCGCATCCAACAATGACATGTTAATCACTAATACCTTAAATTCTATATAACGATGGTCTTCTGCTTGTAGTTCCTGCATTCAATATAACTACTATGTTACATCCGAATGGGAAGATATCAATCTATTTTGAGAAGGTAAGTTACATAATTGAATAGTAATGTAGTGTTGTTTCATGTAATTCGGATTAATATCTTACTTTGCACAAATCAACACTGTCGAATGCATCAACATACATTGAACACGATAGAAGGATATCAACATTTTTTAACGTGCACACACACTATGCGACTCTATTAATAATTCCGTAATGAAACACTTTATTCTAGCACGTTTTTCTTAAAACAATGAATAATAAGAAGTCAAGTGTTATCGATAGAAATTCTGACGTCTCTGAGCCCATTAAGGACAAACGGTGTATTTTATAATACTTTCTAAAACAGTCATTTTCTGTCAAGCTTTACTACATCCTCTGAAGTTCAGCTAATTGAAAATTTCATTGTCAAATAATCTACGAGATAAATCGTTAAAATCTTGATTGTCTCCCAGTGTGTACTTGTTCGAATATCAGCATTTAGTACTTCACCAATTTCAAATACAATAGATGTGTGAAAACTAGAAAAGGCAGATGAGATGAAAGATTTCATCTGTGTTGAACTGAATCGATTTTGATTGCTTCGAGGTAATCAGGAATTGTATGTACCGTGATGGATGGAAGTGAGTACATCAACAGAATTCCTCCACATGACAACAAATTCAAGTGCAACAGCACTGCAGTTATTCACAATCACATTTCCGTCAAGTGACGTAGATATTCATCGCACAATGTAGCGCATCATTGTATGATAGATAGATCGTTCATTGGATTTCAGTGAAGTTGACAACTGAAGTGAGCCAAATAATCCACGTGGATTAGATGGGGCACACTCCTGAGGCAACTGGGGAGATCAGTATGCTTACTGTGTAACTAGTTGTCTTTGTGTAAAGTGGTGTGAATGACGACACATTCCTCCAGTGATTGGTTGGCTTTGATAAAGGTGGTTGTGTGTTGACAGATGTTTACTCAGACTTCCGTTACTTCTTTTCAGATTTCCAAGGTGATTGACGAGAGCCAAAAGGAATCGACAATTTATGGAGCCATTCGGTGCGGAGAAGATGGTAACAAACGTTATTTACATTCTGATTTACACCGACCTACACAAACAGTCATGTGTTAGCCTAATATTAACTTCTTTACATAGCCTTTGATCACCACTTCAATACAGAAATTCGCTGTATTCTGTCATAGTGAGCTAATATATCTTTCTTACAGTCTACATTATTCAGTAGTTTCGTGTGAAAACAGATTGGTCGAAGTGTCATTGAAGTGTTGATGAAAAACGTGTGAGATAAAATCTGAATGCTTCTGGTAAACTCATTGTCCAAACACTACTGTTTATTGAAAATTCAACGTGGATGATGTGTTTACACATCTTGAAGCGAAGTTTTAGTATCATATGTGATAATAAATCAAGGTGCAAACTAATACTGAAAACCGCGTGTTTTGACCAAGTCTTTTAAACAGTGAACCACTGAATTCATCTGTGTCTTCATTTGAACAACTGTCATCCTTACTAGTGTCACAAAAACGATTTACGTTGTTCTGATGAAATCGTATTGGTGCTGTTTCTGTTTTATATGCCGAATTGTGTAAACAGTGAATTTCACGATCCATGTCTGCTAACGCATCTCTAACCTGGTATACTGAGTAATGTAACTATGGTGTGTGAATATGTTCATCATGGATATTCAGAGAAGTCGTTCCCATTTTTTAACAGTCGCTCGTTAAACAAAATCTCAGTTGTTTTCCTCTCTAAAATTTGTTTCACAAGATGTAAAAGCAATTACAATAACTGTTCCCAGAAAATGGATCCATAGTGGAACGTTAGTGGAGTATGAAGCTCTCGGGGGTATGTTAAACCTTATTGTATCAGAAATGACTATTTTCGCAGTTGAATGCATCAATTTTGTTTCAAAAAACTGAAAATTTCATGTGCAATTTCAGTGAATAATTAAATGACATTTAGTTACTAGTATCAAATCACGCTATTCTATACGTGGATTCTCTGTTGATTATTTAAGATGATGAAGGATGGACGGCCTTCACGTCCTCAAGTTGACAAAATACACTTAAGCGTACATAATGTTACAAAACAATAGATGAGATAGTATATGTCAGTTCGTTGATTGTGCATTGACTTGGAAGTGTCCATAGTTTTCCAACTTGCTACATGTGATATTGTATCTTCCTGAGTTATTAAAACCACGGAAACATTTCTTGGAATTGTAATTCACTTGGAAACAATCGCTTACTTTCCAAAATCTATACTTCACCTTGTTCATCCGATAAATTGGACATGTAGACAAGTCATGTGTTCACATTTCGCTATACCATAGACAGTAGATACTTGTACAGCATCAAAAATAATGAAGATTTTCATGTTAGGTAAGTGTTTCCTTTCTCACTGATATGTATAGTGAGTAATCACAAACACTCTTCAGTTCGTCATGTGTTGGAGTACTGAAGTAACATCACTATGACTGAGAAAAATCATCCCATATTCTAATGTTCGAAGTGACTCCAATATTCATTGAATAAAATATAATTTACTATCGATGAATGTTCATGATCCAACTAGTGTGACGTGCTAACCGACAGCACACAGAGTATAATGTGATCACATAGATTGTAACATTCCATAACGATAGGTCGACTGAAATCTCTTCCACAAAAACGTCAGCGACGAATTGATAAACAATGCTACTCCTCTTTTGTTTTTCGACCGAATTAACATAATTATAAGTGAATTTATTGTCTGCGGACAACTGACTTTCTTGCACGGATTTCAAAATAGTCAGTGTGAGTGAGTTTACAATGTTATTTATCAGTTTTCACATGTTGAATCGGTATACAAGACACGTTTTCATCATCACACTGATATCAATGAATGAAACTCCAAATCTATTAGAAATGAAATGCAGTGGGCTTTGCTGAACCCGGTGACAGCATAGTGTATACATTTCTGAATGCGAACAGTCATCAAAATCTACCAAATCCGCACGTCAATACTCATCGTTGAACATTCAACTTAGTTTCATTCAGTTCCGAGGTGTTGTCCTGAAATGTGAATGACATAGTATGAACGAGTTCTCTTTCTCATTGATATGTACTCTGAGTAATCACGCACGCGTTTCAGTTTATCATGTGTTAGGTTATTGAAATACCACCTCGACAACTGAGAGAATCATTCCACAATGTAATGTTTAGATCGACTTTAATACTCGTTGAATAAAATGTTAATCATTGTGGATGTATTTTCATTCAAAACCAAAGTGTTGTCGTGAAATATAAATGTCAATGAAAGTGTGCTGAATTTTGCATTGCGTGAGGTGATGACAAATTCCTAGTGAATGACATAGTCGCCTTATTTCGAAATCATCATTAGATCATCGAGTTATATTTATATGTATTGTAATTCACTTATCTTTTGTTTGACAAATTGTTATGCAATCACCTCATTCTTTCCACTGAAGAAGTTTGTCCAAAACACAATTCGAGTAAAACATGTCATGGCGCAACAACACCGAATACAACGTGTGTTTGGTGTGAAAAAGTCAATATGTGCATTACTAGTAACGATAAGGATAGTCATGAATTCAAAGTAAATGGTTGCAAGGTTAAAGTAAGTAATTGATAGACTTCACAGATTGTTTTCAATATTATATATTATATTCTATATAGTAAATCTATTTACTCGGAAGAACATTTTCTTGCTGCAAACATACAGTGTAATGTATATGTTGATGATGTTTATTTAGATATGAGTAGGATGCCATGTTTCCATGTGGCCATTCAACAATCAATAGAAGCGTCGTTTGACACTTATGCTTGAAAAAATGTTAATTCTTCTGCTCATAGAATGTGTAGTGATTCTCGATGTCCAATATGAAACCGTCTGTATGTGTGAATTGTTCAAAAAATGCCGATGAGATCATTTTGAATGATGAAGCATAATCTGTCATAAATTCTGCATCATGTTTGGAGAGTGAAAGTTCGTGGACTTCCATTGTTGAATTTCAGAACAGATATTCGTGTTACCCTGTTGCGAAATTTGTATTCTCGATGGATTGCTTCAATAAAGCCGTCATCTATTGGTTTGTTATTGATTATTTACATTGAGATAAGGTGAACCATTCGGGAAACAAAATTTCATCACACAAATAAGTTGTCAGTTAATTGTAGGATAATGTGTACTCATCACATTGACCGTCAAATCAGTAGCAGATTTCCCTAAATCATTATTCATTGATCACATTGTGCAAATGTAAATTATGTAACTGATTGTTGAATTCACTTCTCTCATCAATACTGACAATGGCGTATAATGAATGATGAAATATTTGGCAATTAATTATATTTCCACTGTTTCTTTCTTCTGAAGAGCTCGATTCTCAAGGTTTCCACTGAAATTGATCTAAGAAATGAATTGAAGAAGACTAGTTCAAGCACTGAATCACATTTGGTAAATATTTGATATTTTGTAATCATTATACTATTTCGTTCATTTCAGATTATGACTACAGATGCAACGGAAGACATTGGGGAAAGAAAATCATCGCAATACGTGTACATCGTTGTACCATTAGTTATAACTTTCCTTATTGTATGCATTGGTTGTGGCATTTGGCTATGGTTCTACAGAAGGAAGAGAGTTTATCAATGGTTCTCACAAATAGCTTCTCGATTGTTCTCATCAAGTTGACTGTGTTCTTTTCATTTTCGTATTTTATGAAATACACTTTCTATTTTGTTAATCATTTCAATACATTGAAGATTGTTTCATGCAACTGCATATCACATTGATGATTGTTTACGTAATGACTGATGTCACTTTGTTGGTCGAATATAAAAATATAATTTTCTTGTATTTATGTCATTGTTTTCATTCAATAAAGACATGGGTAATTTCACAAGTGGTTACAATATTGCACTTGTCAATTAACAGTATCGTGTATACGTGTTCACGTGACCATTGAAATCAGCAATGAGTTCGTTTTAAATTGTCGTCGTTCAGTGTTTTAAACTAAACTGTCGGAATGCGGCATCAATATTTAACAAAACACTTTAATCCTTCGTTATTTGACTATTGACTGTTGAGTGAAATCTGGTTGACAGACTGTTGTTAATTAGGTGCCATGAATGTGTTGAATATGAAATAATTTTAGAGGGTCTAGCTGATACTCAAGTAAGAATGGAAAAAGATGTAGATTGAATGATGAACTAGTAACAGTTGTGCCGTAACATCGGTAATAAGATGAGAGATTTGAAAAGAAGAAAACAATGAAGTGTTTGCGTCAATGATTGATCACATTATTAAACAAAACTTGGCTAATAATCGGTCCTATTCTCATGGATTGATGAGAAACAAGTCTAGGTTTTATTTTTCTTACACCTTCACTAAGTTTCCGTGTTTCTTCCTGAACTGCATTTATGTTGTGTTTACTTGATACTAAGTCTTGGCAACAGCCATATTGGTTTGCATTGGTTTGTTCCTCCTTTTGATTGTGTTGCTTGTATTGACTAGAATTGTACATTATTGATTGTGAATTGAGACACAATTCCAGAATTGACAACACTTGTGTTATAAAGCAATCAAATAGTATCTTTTAAACGAACCTGTGCATGATCTAGCCGGACAAGATGGAATAACATTGATTTGTTGTGATTGGTAATTTTCTCTCAGCCATCATCAACTTCCTTATTTATTGTAATTTAGATTTGATTCATTGAACAATTTTTTGGCTGAATAGCTGGGTGGTCAAATTTGTTTAGGTAATAGGGTACATTTAAATTTACAATGACTTTCAGAACCGTCATTTCACCCAATCACGTTGTTTTGGTTTCATCCGGGCAAAGGCACGTATCTAACCCACCTAGAAAGTTATTCTTCAGTCCAAACCTTAGTTTGGACCTACCACCTCCAAGAATTTGTACTTTAATTAAAATAAAGTATCTTTCAAATTACGAAAACAAAATATATGAACCAGAAAATTTACGAAGTTATA